CACGCTGGTCCGCTGCGCTTCCCTTGCGGTGTTTAAAAATCCTGCTTGATGCATTTTTGGTGCATATTTGGCGAGTAAAAAAAAAAAAAAAATGCACCTCCCCATGGAGGCCTGGTTCACACCAATGAATTTTTTTAGGGCTTTTGCTGCAGAAACTCACTACAGTCCATTTAACATGGTTTCCTATAGGATACGTTCACATCTATGCTTTTTTTGAGCTGCTGAGTTTTTGGAAAGGGTCAGGGACTTTTTAAAATGTAAAATGTTGCATTTTTGGTTCAATAGACTTCAATAGAGACGCTGGGGAAAAACGCATGTAGTGCCTTGACACATTGTCACGCGTTTGCTGCTTTTTTGATGCATTTTGCATTTTTAACCTGCCCAGCAACAAGTTGACCAAAAAAAAATTCAAAAGAGGCAGAACACATCAAAAACACGTGTTCAAAAACTCAAAGCGCATTGCGATTCAGACAAATTGCAAACTTCATTGGCGTGAACCAGACCTGAAATGCAGTGAAAACACATAAAAAATACGCATCAAACACATTTCCATGTGTTGCGTTTCTTATGCCTTTCTAATCTGTACTTCGGGTCTGGTATGGGTTTTAAGGGGAACCCACACCAAAATGTAAAAAAAAATTAAATAAAGAAGGCATCACCCCCTGCAGAGCCCCACAACCACAGTCCTGGGTTGTAGGGAAAAGGCCCTTGTCCCCATCAACTTATCGCTCCCCCCCCCCCCTTTCCCTTACCTGACCTGCCATGCTTCATAATCGGAGAAGGGTCTGGTGTGGATTTTGGGGAGGACCCCCACACATTTTTTTTTAAATTGCTGCCATTCTTTATTTACATTCAACTGATAGGGGGAAACCACTGACAGCTGAGGAGTTATCGGTTGTTAGGGATGGGGCGCCCGGCTTCCTGGCCCTCTCCTTAGCAACCAGCTATTCGTTACACAGAATTTGGATTCCATTTGTTCTGAAAATTAGGATTTGGTTAGAAATTCAATAAATAAAACTAAATTTAATGAAAAACTGATGGTCAAAGAAAAAAAAAAGTGCGTCGGATCCTAATCACTTCAATATAGATGAGGATCCGACTTGGAGGAGACTTCCATTAAAGTCTATGGGCACAAGTCAGATAGAAATTGCCTTGAAGTAGTAAAGTCAGAGCGACTTCAGTAGTGCTAATTAGGACAGCTCTCATTGACTAACGTGGGATTTCACATGTCATGCGACTTGGAGTCTCAAAAGTTGGATCTCAAGTCGCAGCAGCGTGAACCAAGCCTTCGATGTGCCGACAAACTTTTTGAAAGACAAGTAATTCTAGATCTAATAGGTTAATTGTTTTTCTGCATTTAGTTGTTTTATTTATGCCTTATGTGCAACAAAATGAATCCCCTAATACATATCATGTGGACCTCAAAACATACTGTATGTGATATAAACCCACATGTTGCTCATCCCTACATGTCAACATTTTTCTTCCTTCCAGAAGAAAAGTAAACCTATGATGCCGTAAATGTCTGTCTTGTCTTAGGACAAGACAGAGCAGAGCCATTTGTTAATCACCATTCATAGTCTCTGTTTATCCAGTATAATTGTTTAATTATTAGAACACATATACTGTATGTATTGCTTGAATGAAATTGGAATATAATGTCCGCAGGGTTTTTGATCTGTATTACTAGAGGGCATTCGTTAATTCATATCACTGAAGGCAATATTTTATTATCCTTGTGCGTAAGGACCAAGGTGATGATACCTTAGCTGCCCCTAAAGTAAAATAATACTATGTTGTCAAAGCAGAAATAATCATTTTAAGGCATAGACTTCTAGGATTATGTAAATCCCGCTTCTATGAAGCAGAAAGCACTATATCTTGGAAGAGACTGTGATCTGTTCAAGGTCACCTTGAAATAGTTCTCATCTCGAATCACTTGATTAACAGTCTGAAGCTTTACCACGAAAGCTTGACATGGTCTATTATAAACTTGGCACGATTTTACAAGTGCTTTGGGGAAGACCTGGATTTTACCTTTTAACTAATTAATTGCAACGTCTGCATTAAAAAAGATGTATGCTCTTTGCTCATTTATGGTTTCAGCGGTGTAATTCCAAATTATGTTGAATCGACAGATTGCTCTGTGAAATTTATGTTTAAACTGACAGCAATGATGCAAAATATTCTGATATCATTGATATTTCTATTGATGATTCTAAAAACGAATCTATTTCTCCTGGCAGTAAGTCTTCCCAGATTAAAGCCTTAGACCAGACAATTTTATTTTTTAAATTTCGCCTATAGTGGTGAAGAATTAATATTTCCATCAGTTATTCTGTTGAGGAGAATTTCCATTTTCCTCACTGACTGCCCAGTGATATCCATACATGAAATAGCAGGTGTGGACATCACCAAGACAGGCATAAACAGCAAATAAAATCATTTTTTAACCTTTTATACTATGCTTAAATTGTACTCGTCTCCCTTTAAAGCTAGGTCAGCAAAGATTGCTGCTATCCAGAGTTTGTTGTTTTGAATTATTGCACCCATCTGAAGTTCCCTTTCTTGCATAACATGCCCACTGCTAAAAGACATAAGCAGACCAACCACATATAGGAAATCACAGTGTTTGCATCAGAGGACATGAAGCTGCAGTATTGTAGTAGCCTAGATCTACAGTAAATGTATCATTATCAAGGATCTAAACTGTGATACAACTATGTATCCCCTGAATATACTGTGAAAATAATTCAAAGACCCAAAATGTGTTGTGGGGGCCTGCTTTGAGTCCTGCGATATGGGGAATAAATGTCTTAAAGATACCCTCAAAACTATGTAGCAAAATGGTGACTATGACGGAGTTATACAGTAGGAAAAGGGATCACTACAACAGACATGAAGTTAGTTTAGATCTGTTCTTGTTGTAAAAAAAAAAAAAGATTAGTGCCAACTGTCAGTAATTTCACAGACAGTCCTTAAAGTGATACTAAGGCTAAAAACCTCTTTACCTTAATGCATTCCTTGCATTAAGGTAAATAAAAGTTAGATTTCTCTGTCCTCCCCCCTTCCACGTGTGAAGGGGAAGAGAGAGGAAAATAGACCCAGCACTGTGCATGGCTGCATTTCTTCTCCCCTCTTTTCCTCTTCACACAGGACTCGAACAGCAACAGGAGCCATTGGCTCCTGCTGCTGTCAATCAAATGCAGTGAGGATGAAGTGGGCTGTGCTGTGGGACTAAGTCCTGCTGTGTGTGTCTGTGGAGCACGGCTCCATAGGTACACAGCTCAGGAGTGAGCAGACACTGTGTGTCCCCATAGCATAGCAGTATATTTTCCAACATTAAGTTGTAGCTGAATAAACAAAAAGTATACCTCTTCCACCTCCATTGTCCTCTGTTCTGAGAGAAAGCAAAAGTGCTGGGAAAGGTTTCCATGACCCAAGCTACTAGAGTGTGCATGGATGATACTGCACACAGTATTTGAATAAATTTACTTTTTTAATGGAAGAGAAGTGTAAGTACCTTAATATGAGTTATGCTTTAACTAGACCCCAACTTGAGATTCCAGCACTTAGCTTTTTAAACAGCAGAACTTCACTCAAATAGTGAAGTCCTGCTGGCTCGCTCCTTCCCTCCCTACCTCTCTGTTGTACCCGAGTTACAGTTTATGGTTTGGGGGAGGAGCGAGTATTGCTTTTTATGGATACCCGCTCCTACTTGGGCAATCCTTGCCTAGGCAAAGATGAAAACCCATTCCCCACCCCCTTTCCTTCCACGGCCTCCTTAGACACGATACGTGTCCCAGGGGCCTGCAGGACCATTATTAAGTGCCTCAGGAGCTTGCACATGCACAGTGGGGAGCTGGCTGAGGTTCCTCAGCCACAATATCACAGATGGCAGTGCCAGTGACCTATAGTAGTAAGAACTGGCTGTAGGAAGACCACGCTGGACCCCAGGCACTAATAAGTACTTGATTTTTTTTTTAAAGTCAGCAGCTACACTTGAAATAAATCAATCAAAGTTCCTCCTTAAGGTTTGGTATCACATCCACTTGAGATAGACAAGCAGAAACCGAAAAGAAAAAAAAAATGCATTCTGCTTTGTAACTTGTTTTATTCTTATCTATCAGTTCCTCATCTGAATTAAGACTTATGCCAAGTTAAATATCCATTGCCTGTGATAACCATTTTATGTGTTCTCATTTAGATGACTGCATTTAGAGACATGCTATTTAATATATTTATTTATCCATGAGTTAAAGTTTATATGAAAACTCAATGAGCAAATAACTTGGAACTTCACCCAAAAGGGGACATTCTGCTGTGAAATTCTGCTTTAAGTGAGATCCCAATTTATACAGTTGTCATCAGCACTGGTGTATGTGTTGCAGCATGTCTCCTGTATTCTTGATATGACAAGCGTAAAATTTGTATTTCCAAACATTTCTTGTTCTGGTGACAATGGCTACCAGGCAAATAGGATTAATATTTCCATCAGACAGCAGTAAAAATCCAGCAGGGATTTTAATGTCTCCTAATCTAGCCACAGTTAACAAAAAAAAAAAAAGTTGGATTTAAATGCACTTTACAGTGTATGTACAAAGTAGCCAAAACCTTTATTTTTAATTTTTGAATAGGGTAAAGAAGGGTTAATTTCCATAACAGATCATCTTTTGCTGTGTGAGTCTCACTTTGAAGTTTACCTTGATCTTCCTGTGTTGGAGACAAAGCAGGAAGTGACCCAAAGTAGGAGGAGTTGTCACCAGAACATTTGTTCTGATTGGAAGAGTTCCCCTCATCTCTTGCTTTCATGAGAACTCTAAATTATAGAATTTCTCCCCACTTTTTTGCCTCAGTAACAGTGGTCACCAGGACAAATAGAGGGGTTAATATCTCCAGGGGGGTAAAGACACAAATTTTCATTTTTACGGTAGCCATTTGTAAGAAAATGTCATATCAATGACAGTAATTTAATTCTGGCTTACTGTTTTTTGTTCCGCAGCGGTCAGTTTGCAGTGGTGAAGAAATGCCAGGAGAAAAGCACAGGTGCGCACTACGCAGCGAAATTCATCAAAAAGAGACGTACCAAATCAAGCCGGCGTGGCGTGACCCGGGACGATATTGAGAGGGAGGTCAGCATACTGAAAGAAATCCGACATCCTAATGTGATCACGCTGCATGAGGTGTATGAGAACAAAACAGATGTCATTCTCATTCTGGAGCTGTAAGTACTACAAAGCACACCCCTCATCTTCTTGTTTGTGTTTCGGGTGCTGAGAGGATGATGTAATGTGCTTCCTGTGCAAGCACAAGAATGGCACAACACAGACTGAAGCCTGCTATTTCAAGGGTTCTCCATCATTTAGGCCTAAGGGTTTCACTGAACAAAACCGGTTAGTAACAAGTTTACTTTCACTGCGGGGTGTCGCGTAAGGAACACAAAGTGCTAGCAAATAGTATCTATTTAACATTTCTGTACCATGCAAAACACTGCAGCTCTCTGGAACTATAAATTACATTTGAATAACCAAATGTACATGTAATGGTGTTTATGTAAGAAGGGACTATATAAAAAAAACTGCAGATACCAATCAGCTGTTCAATGTAGTGAGAATAATTAAATCATTTTTGGATTGATTTCCAAGACAAATTGCACTTCATACATCATCAGTCACTTCTGGACTCCACAATTAAATGCCATTTTGCATCCATTAGAAAAGCCACACAAATTATTTTATATTGGTAAAAGTATCTGCATACTTCTTGATACTAGGCTCCAGTAATTTCAATGCAGCAGCACTGGAAGATCAGGGGAAGGTCAGGTTACTGAGGTAATTGGGGGTCTATTGCTTCTTACTGTGAACAAAATTTACAGGAGGGAAGAGTAAAAGTCTTACCGCATGAGCCCCTTCACTGTGCAGTCACAGGCCTGGGCAGGTCGTGGACCAAGATCTCTTGGCTAAAGCTAAACTCCAGGCAAACTGCCAATTACACTGATGAAGTGCATATATGGGGGTTATATTATGTGCCAAAGAATTTATTTCGTTGTGAGATTTACACACGGACCTTTTCTCTGTTGCAGTTAAAGTATATGTGAACCAGCACCTTGTAAAACAACCCATTCAGTTTAAATTAGAAATGAAAGGCAAATACTTTTCCCCCTGTTTTAATATGTAAGTAATCATGTGACCTCTAAGCTCCTTATGCAGCTGAGAACAGAGAAATAGGGGAGGAGTTACAGCAGCACACAGAACTTCCCAGTGGATGGCTCGTGGAAGAGGGATATGTGAGCAAAATTATGGTCATTGGAGGAGAGCACACTGAGTTCCCAGCACAGAAAACTGACCACTGTGCTTTCATGCTTGGTGCAGCCAGTTTTTAATAGGAAAGCAGAGGGACTGGTAGGAACATCAAGGAGGAAAAATGTCACCAGGACACCAAGGATCACCAATATGGGTCCAAAGGTTTTAATGAACGATCACATAGTTACAGCAAGGCAACTTTCGGAGTCTCGTAGGACCCCTTCATCAGGGATCCTGCGAAACTCCGAAATCCTTGCTGATTTTGTTCGGTTCTAGCCGACGGTCGCTGCAGCACCCACTTATACACACAGCCATTTTTAACGCAGGAACGTGTGCGTTTGGACTATACACTTGCATTTTGGTAGGAACATCAGGGATATATTCTCTTACAAGTACATGGTACAACAGGCACATAAAGAATATGTAAACCCAACATGTCATATTCCTGATAATTAACAGAGTCCTTTTACAGCTCCAAGCACACTAGCGGGTTTTTTTTTTTAAGCTACAAAAAAAAATAAGAAAAACACTGGATAAAAGAAACGCTGGTAATTGCATTTTTTGTTTTAGTAGCGTTCAGCAGTGTTTAGGAATATTAGCGTTTTTACAGTACATGTAGAGGAAAATAAGAAGCTAGAAAAAAGCTGTTAGGAGCGTTTTGGTAGCATTTAGTGTTTTTTTTTTCTGCTGGAAAAATGCTCCAAAAACTCTACAAAAATATATTTTTTTCTGCTATTAGACGTTGAAGCTCAAAAAATGCTAATAGCCTAAAGTAGTGTGCATGAACACAGGATAACACTTCTAGCAGCAGAAACAAATTTGCTGGTAATAGCTTCTAGGAGCTTAAAAAAACCACTAGTGTGCATGGAGTCTACCTCTGCCAGCCTTCAACTGGACAGTGAAATTATTTAAAAATAATACATTTAATGACGAATTTATGCATACAGAGCTACTATAATTTGCATGTTTTTATATCTGCCTGGACTCTAACTTTCATTCCAGTGTAGTCTACAGCAGTAGTTGTCAATTTATGAGCTAAAGAGGGCCTCAAATACGACCCCTGACATCAACAAAGAGCCACACATAATGTTCAATATATGTAATGCTTGAGAGGACCAGCAGACTATCAGTAATAGAGGAAAATGAGGTCAGAGAGCGTGGACATGCTACATTTTTGGCTGGAGTAATCAGGGGTCTATTGCTTTGTACTGCATTGTCTGTGAACAACTGCAGAAGACAATACTAAACTGGGAACATGTTACATGAGGCTAGTAGAAATCAATGCTATTACCTTGATTAGTGTTCCCACTACAGACTGCAGAGGTCCGAGAGGTACACATCATATGCCAAAGGGTTGCATGCGACCCTCTGCCTGCAGGTTGGGCACCAGGGGTCTACAGGATCTAGCTGTGGTATCATGTATTGATTCCTAGATCACAAGACTAGATGGATTAAGTTTTTTTGCCAGGTAAAATGATTCACATGTTCAGTATGTATTCCAGTTGTGTATTTAGCAGTTTTTCCAGAGTTCAGCATCATAGGCAAAAATGCAGTTTGTTGGGACTTTACCAGACTGACGTCCCACTAAATCCAATTAATTTTAGTTCCAGTTCAAATGTATGCTCCATTCAGACATGAACCCTGTTCTTTCAAAGATAATGCATGCAAGGTATAAGGTAACAGCACTACTGCCAAAATACTTTTAAAGGGTTCTGTCCCTTGTACTACATGTACTTTGTCCTATGTTTGTAAGTGCTTTCTAACCATAGTAATGAAGTCTGACCTGCCCCCATCCCTCTTGCTGTAGCCAGTCCGACAGCTGATTGTCTCAGCTGTGAATATTTTTCACAGACAAGCAGCGGCAAGAGGAATGCAGAGGGAGGGATGAGGTGTATCAGCCTCTGCATTCCCTTTTAGCCACTGCCGGTCTGTGGACAGTATTTACAGACTAGCTGCAGCTATAATGCAGGCCATTCATAGGTCGATATCCAAAAGAATTTTCTTTCGAAAATCTTAACTAAGAAATTTTGTTTGAATTTCGCACCAGTAGCAGGCCGCAGTATCCGATTTTTGTGCGGCCATCAAATTTGAGTAATTGGGCATGTTGGAAATTTCTCTAAAAACTAATGAATTTCTAATCAGTGATGGAAGAATCGTGCGAGAAATAAAATCAACAAAGAAATAAGCATGAGCTGTGACCTGGAAAGAAAAGAAGATTCCCAGCCATGAAAATTATTTTCTATAGCAACGAGGTGAAATTGAAGGCTGGATTGGTCGAATTTCGAAATCAATGGTGGCACCATCGCATTACAAAACGCACAAAATTTCCAATTTTCTAAAGAAAATTCCTTCAGAATTTGACCCATGTATGAACTGCATTATTCTCCTTCAAAGCTGTTTCGGATTGGCTGTAGCAGGATGAGGGGAAGGTAAGTTGGTACTCATAACTAGGATTAGAAAGCACTTCGAAATGGAACAAACTACTTCATGCACTTTCTCCCATAGTGGATAGAACTGTGGGATACAATTACAATTATAGATCCTCTTTAAAGGTAGGAAGCCCTTTAATTGAGTTTTATGGAAGGGGCTTTCAGCAGTCTTGGATGATGCATAGTTTTGTCCAAAATTGGGACCTCATTATAGCTATTCCAATTTAATTTTGCATGTGGGTTTTTTCCTTCTTCTCCAAAGAACTATTTAAAAAAAAAAATAAAAAAAAGCATTCTTAACCACTTGCACTCCAGAGGATTTACACCCCCCTTCCTGAATTTTCTGTGGTTTGGCACTGCGCTACTTTAATTGACAATTGCGCGGTTATGCAACTCTGTACCCAAATGAAATTTATGTCCTTTTCCCCCCACAAATAGAGCTATCTTGCGATGATATTTGATCACCTTTTGTGTTTTTATTTTTTGCGCTAAAAAACAGAAAAACCACCAAGTTTGAAAAAACAATATTTTTGACTCTTTGCTATTAAACATATCCAGTAAAAAAAATTAAAAAAATCAAATTTCTTCATAAATTTAGGCCAAATGTATTGTGCTACATGTCTTTGCTAAAAGAAAATCCCAATACATGTAAATTAATTGGTTTACGTGAAAATTATAGCGTCTGCAAATGGCAGTATATATACTGGAAGTTTTATTTTTCTAATTTTTTTTTTTTTATACTAGTAATGGCGGCGATCAGCAACTTGAAACATGCAAATAAAAAGTACTAACGGCACTGGGCAGGAAGGGTTTAACATCTGGGGCGATCAAAGGGTTAACTGTGTGCTGTTTTACTGTGTGTGTTTTACTAGGGAAACACACTACTTTGTATTTCTCTGCTATGCAGAGCAGTACAAAGCAGCATGCCGGTGCTGACAGGGAAGGGATCTGTGTTGCTTACACACAGACCTCTCCCCTTTCACTGTTCCTTGGCGATCGCCAGTGCTGAAGGGGAATCTCCGTCCGGGACCTGGTGATCTACAGTTGTAGCTGCCTAGGGCGGTGTGCATGCATGCCCCTTACCCAGAAATGCAAAAACACACACACACACACATATATATATATATATATATATATATATATATATATATTATTAAAGTGGTTGTGATCCTCAGATGTGAAATATGAACAAAGCCTTCTTCTATAGTGTGTACTTGTCTCAAGTCAGAGCATGAAGTGTCATTTCTGTCTGCTACTTCCTTCCTCTGCTGTGAGCACAAGTCACTTCTGACAAGTTTTCCTTACTCCAAAAGGTACAAAAAAAATGACAGGGGAGGGATCCACAGCACACAGCCTGTGATTGACAGCCTCAGCTCTGTTTATGTGTGCTGTGTGAAGCGGGTGTGTCCTTTCACTTCAGTTAGCTCTCAGAACTCTCCTCACTGAGCTCTGCAGAGTGTAACTTCAGATCCCAGGTGATTTCTAAAAGCTCA